TTATATAATATTAGTATATATTTTATATCAATTCTGTTAAAACCTTAAACAAATTTTATTCAATAAATAAAATTTTATTCTGTTTTCATATTTTTTATGATAAAAAGAACACTAACATATATATATATATCTTTATAAGTTTTTATAATATTTTTCATTTTCGCAATTTATATTTAATTTGCAAATGAAATTGTTCATATAATCAATATTTTCATTTTTTATAAATTTTTCATAGACCATGTAGGAACTATTTAAATTATATTATTATATTATATTTAAATTACATTACGTATTAAATCAAGATTTAACTAAGCTATCAGAAGTGTTTTGTTCCAAGAAACAGGAATGGATTTGTTAAAAAAATTTGTTAAATTTAATTAAATTATTTCATTAGCAGTTAACAGTACATAAAATTGATAACCGCGAAACGAATAAAATACATTGCACAAATACTTATGCTCAGAGCCATCGCAGTAGAGCATGCCCGTCTATGGTCAGACGGTGCAAACAGGTGGAAAACGTGAATTAACAATAACATCTTTGTATACATTAAATCTTCATTCATCATTATCCATTAAATTTAATACTTCTCTCATTTCTATTTACATTATTCTAAAAATATTTAACAAAATTTTCAATTATTTCAATTATTGTTAAATAAACTATCTTCTCTTCGAAATATTTTATTCCAATTTATCAAAAATAAATTCGAAAAATAAGTCATTCAAAGATATATAATAAAGGAATTTTAATAATAAAGGAATTTTCATTAATATTTCAATTGCCAATCGTAAGAAAAAAATGTTAGTTCGCTTAAAAAGATGGTAGGATCCAGATGATATTCTCTCGCCATGTGTTTCCATATATAACACTATATCCATGACGTAAACGGCCACGTGAATAGGGGAAGGAGGCGAGTGTACGTTAAATATTATGCTGTCGCTGGGTTGGTTAATTGGTTAGAGCAAGCCAGTTAGTTTCATTATGTTACCTCCATCTTCGTAGGTTTCGCACAATAGAGACCTCTTTCAGTATCGGGGCCACTAAGCTTGCGTATATTGTAGAGTCTCTTTATGACTACAAGACATTCTCATAAAGAATTCGATCACTGCCCAGATCTATTATTTTTTCCTTCTTATAATACTTAGATTAAACAATTATGTTCAGTAACTGTAAACTAATAATATAAACTATCGAATAAAAAATTTAAATTTTTCTTTTTTTTTTTCATATTGATTTTTATTTTGAATTTTATTATTAATTTATAATTAATATAGATTATCAATAAAATTTTCAGAAAGTCCGAGATCAAGTTTTTGGTGAAAGAAGTTTAATTATTATTAACATTAATTAATATTTTTTAAAAGAAATTTTAATCTTTTAATTTTTTAAGTATTTAGATTTTATGTAACTTTATGTAATTAAAAAATTTTTAACTAATATATCTATATATGTTTTATTTAGAAATATTTTGAATGAATTATAATTTTCTATGTAACTATATTTTGTGTAACTATAATAGTTGTCTTAGTTATAATATATTTTTCGAAATATATAGTTTATTTAGTCTTTTTAACAAATACAAACAATTTCTTAGATTTCAATTTTTAATATTTTTCAATATTTTGTCATAATTTTGTTTAATTTCATGTGAATTATTAAGGAAAGATAATCTAAAAAAGAATAATTTTTTTCTGTTTTGTAATATTATTATTATTATTTAAAATATATGAATAAATATTAAATAAATTAAATAATAATTTTGAAATATCTAAACAAGATAATATATATGTTTATTTTTTTTTATTTAAAAACATCGAAAGTTCTTTTATTTCTTAAAAGTAAAAACGAAATTAGAATATAAAATTAGAAGTCTATAAGAATTAATTTTAAGATAATTGTATTAATACTTTTTTTAATATACAATGAAAATTTATATCATATAACAATAACATCAATTTTTTAAACTAAAATATTAATTTTATACTAATTAATTTTCTTAATGTTTCTACATGATTCATCAATATTTTGAATAATTTATAATTGAATATCAAAATATTTGTATAATATAATGCACATTTGTTGTAATAGTATAATAGCGATTTGAAAAATCTATTATACTATTTTTTTACTTTACAAAATCTATTAATAAAAATAATAATAAATATCAATGATTTTCCTGTACCAAATCTCAATAAATGCAAATTTTGAATTATGTCATTCTTACAACGATATACTTGATATAATTTTGGATACAAATTAAAACAATTAATTATTATGTGTACATTATCTATATGAAAATATTTATTATTTAATGTCCACTATTGTATCAAATGGTTTATAATATGAATAATCGGATGAATTTGATTAAATATCAATATTATTAAATCTCATGAAAGAACTGATATTATTGAAATTATTATATGTATAAAATATATTATTGAAACATATTTATAAATATTATAAATAAAAAATACATATAAATTTCACAAGTTCAAATAAAAAATATTTTCTCTTACATATACGATGAATGTATTTAATATTTATAAAAAAATTTCTATTTGATACTCATTTACATCATATACCTCGAACATACAATTTTTCGATTCTATTTTCTGTCCTCTCTCACAACCTCTTTTTCAATATACAACTAAACTAGTTCATTTTTCATTTCCTTCTCCAACTTGTAAACTGTTTCCGAGTTTCTTTCTGAACTTTTTTATCGCATAACTTTCTCCAATTCGATCCTCTTTTTCGATCAAATCTTTTTTTTCGAACAAAAAAATTTTCATCCTGATAACAATCATTTTTTTTATTCAAATATTATTATGTGTAATAATACTATTGATAATAAAATGATAATAAACACAATGCTTTAATTCAATATATTTCACATATAAATTTTGTTAATTTCAATGTTATTCATTGTTGGTTTTATAAAGAACTTCAATTTTTTATATCTTAAAATTATAAATATTTTTGTTTTATGATTTAAAAATTGCAAGACTCAGTATTTATTCATTTCTAAATCTCATGATAAAAAAAACGAACAATTGAAAGTTCATCTCATTTAATTTATTTCATATTCATTTGATGTTTACAAAAATTTCAAATGATATATTTATAATAGTAAAATAATCTATTATTATATGTTTTTCAGGCATATTACATTTTTTTTAATAGAAAACTATTTCATTGTGTTATTTAATACAAATTATTCTTAATAAATTAATATCAAAATTTAACTCTTATTTTCGCGTAATAATAATAAATCAAGAATTACAAGACTATATAAATATCTAATGATAACTAATTCTAATATAAATTTCAAAATAATTCCAAGGCTTAATAATATATTATACATGTATTTCAAAATGCATAATTCAAATCTGTATGAATTAATAAAATATCAAATCCATTACAACCTACAAAGGATTTATTTCAAAGACTAGAAGAATTAAATTATTATAATTTCGTTAATATAATTTTAAATTCACAAATAATTTTTATTCTTTTTTTTTCAAAAACATATGTACTATTTTGAATTGTGTCATTTTTGAAA